ACCACGGTTGAACTGCTTTAAAAATAACTTTATCAATAATATGGCACGTTCATTAGAACGTGACATCAAAAGATATATATAATATATATGTATACACATACATACATACATTTGGTCATGAAATGCAGTCGATTTCGCTCAACTGCAAGTGCAGCATTCTTATTAGAAGCTCTATAAATGCATGAAATGCATTCAATTTAAATTAAATCTTACACAGATTAAATCATTTACGCTCAGCCATGCAACATATTATAATTATATTCTTATGATACTATAATTTAATCCATGAATTTATTATTTATCACAGTAAATGGAATTTAATTTTCACCTACTTTTTTTGGACTGACCCAATTAAAATATATGATTTTAATAAATTCACAAATGAGCTTAACAAATTGCGCATTTTGAGACTAAGCCTCAATATTTGCTGCAATAAATGTCAATAGGAAGGAAAACAACGTATTTAATCAGTTGCAAAGTATTTAAATTGTATGAAATGAATCAATGGCTCGAGATTAAAATACTACGTCACACTTGTCGCTTATCGCTGACATTTTTATTTGATTATTTTCATTTCATAAATATATTTTTTGTTGTCGAGAAACTTTGTGTTAAAGGGTCAATTAAGTCTTAGTGCGCTGTCAATGGAAGTTTCGTTTAATTTATGCCGACACACATAATTGGAAATTTATTACAAAGTGATGTCAACACCAACTCGACAATGTAAATGAAAGAGAGAGAGAGAGAGAGAGAGAGAGAGAGAGAGAGAGAGAGAGAGAGATTAAGGGAATATGAAATATCGCAGCATTTAAGTCCAATTTAATGGGCCCTGAAATGAGGCAACTTGTCTGTCGCTACGCGGCTTATCGACTTCTAATTAAAACATTTTCATATTTTATGGCCAAAGTTAACGTTTTTCTAAACTCGGAACCTGTTTCGGGTTTTGCAAAGGTTCTAAATTTCTGTGTGCAAATTTAATTAGCTAGATTTCCATCCGATCCGAGTTGGGCGAATACTTCAAACACCTTCGACAAGTGGGAGCCGGGCGAACCGGTTCTAGTTTGTTTAAATGATGGGAAAACATCTAGCTAGCATCGAGGCGTATAGCACCTCACCTTATCGGCATTATCTACAATTATTTTGACTGTTTGTTTGGCAAATAAATCAACAAACACACACACGCGCACCTGAGTTTATGTGTGCGCGTGTTGTGTGTTTTTTTCTTTTTAATATTTTTTTTCACATTTTATTATTATTTTTGTAGTGTGTTTTGTGACTTGTTTACTGCGCACATTTGCGGCTTGAACTTGGCATTGTTTGCACTGGGTCGCCATTCATTCAGAAACGGATCTTCGGATGTTCGCTGTGCCGAAACTTGTTGACACGGTTTCCCAATACTAATTGTTTGCATACGGCTTTACGTGTATTCGATTTTTTTTTATTTTTGTTATCTCTGATGCTTTGCATATGATTTTTTTCTCTCTCTTGTTTGCCCAAGAGATCAGCGTTTGCATTAATGCCGCGCACGATTTTGTGGCTTGAATGGAGAGTTTGCTCTTCCGATTTGCCGAATTGAGTTTTATTTTTATAAACTTCAACTAAACTGAAATGTAAATAAATCACCAATATGAACAGCAAACTTTGAATATTATTAAATCCTGGCCTTGAACTCGTATCTTACTACAAATATCTATTAAAAATATGATTAGTAGGCCTTCAGGTGTTAAACAGCAGAGAATAAAAGTTTTCGCCTCTCTTTATTTCACTTCAGTTAGCAACAGAGAGCAGGCTTGCTGCTTGATTAATATGGGCTATGGCTGATAATCGGGTTGAGTTTGGATAAGAGCAAGACGATTTTGGCCTGGCTAAGGCTGAATGCGCATTAATCAAAATTGCTTGAGAGAAATGCCTCTAACCAATTTTAGCAACAAATATTTGCTCAGCAAAGGGTGGCCAAAATGATGTGATATATATGTGATATATATGCCAAACGTCTAAATCTCTTTAGCCGTGTTCAATAGAACTGTTGGCTTAATAAAGAGACACACAGAAAAACTGTCACAGCTGCCGGCTGGCTGAGAATCTGCCAAAACACTTCCGTGTCTCAGAATGTTTCAATTACGTCTTGGATTTGGGTTTGGGTTCGGGTTCGGGTTTGGTTTACATACACGTTTAGGTTTACTTCCGTGTAACCCACATATCATCTATCAACTATCTACTTAGCCCAACAGTTTCTCACATAATTCATGCCGCATACGGGCTGGYAATCTCGGCCCACAGGCACACACACACACATACACACAGCAATCGAGAGACGTGTTCATCAATGAAAAGTATGTCTGTCTGTCTGGCCAGCCAGGTCTCCGTTTTCCCAAGCCTTTTGTCTCCCATTGGCTGCCTGCGCAAAATTACTTCCGTTTTGTTGCAACTGCAAAGTGTCATTGTTGCAGCATGTGTGGCAGCCTTCGGCCCGGCATTCGCATTGGAGTCTCTTGCCAAAAGGGCGAAAGGCAAATTGTATGCAATATTGCGCTTTTTTCTCTGCTCAGGCTGCCGTTTCCTGGGCCTTCACTTTGCTTGCCTTTTGTTTACCATTTTGCGCTGCCAACCTGTTAGCCAACAATGCCAGCTCATCTGGTAATTTGAGCACGTAAACTGAGACATTAATGCTGCATATGAACGAATATCGCTCACTGTACTCCCATTCATGCATCCCTCTTGATATTTCTTCTTTTTTTTTTTGACAGTTTCATGTGAACAGACTCACATGTTGTTATGTAAGTACATAGATTTTGTTTTTCGTTTTTTTGTTATTGCAAAACACCTACGATTCGCACAATAGCTGACGTATGCCAGCTCATCTGACAGCTATTTGTATTTTCCTATGAAATATCTACGGATTTATATACACATGTGGCATGCATGCAAATCTCGTTTGGATCTCTAAGAATTGACGGATGGCGAAACTGTAGACACATATGGCATAATAAATGCAGATAAGTTGTTGGCTCCAGCAGCTTAGATGCTTACATATATTATCCATTAGCCGGATATCTTAACCCTTTGCAGCTTTCGTGTGCCTTCAGCACCTCAGCCAGCTGCGCTGCTCAGCCCATTAGGCACATTACGAATTCAGCATTTGAGATATTCCTTTCAATAGATAGCACTCACAGCAACTACTTGTGGGCACGCCCCTTTTTCGCCCAGACAACTGCAATTGTCGATACTCGACTTCGAGCTGCAAACGAAGCGTGGCCCGAGTTTTGCATCAGTTTCAAGTCTTGCGGCATGCAAAGGCACCGACAGCCCGAGACGGCGACCTGCGGCCAGGTGAGTTAATATTTCTAATTGAAAAAGGCAATTTGTATGCGGCGAGCCAATCGCTGAGAGACGGGCGAGAAACTTTGACAGACAAAAGCACTCAATATAATTAAATTGTAGACGGCACAGACCGCAACCCACTGCCAACATCATCATCATCATCATCATCATCATCATCATGGCCATCATCATCATCTGCGTAACTGATTTCAGTGTCAGTTTTAAAATGCGTCCGTTCTTTAGCAGACGGCGCTTCTTCCTCAGCGGCAAGAATAAAATTAGCATTTTCAATCCGTGCAGCAGTTGCTCGCAGATATGCTACTCCCTGCTCTACAAGTTATCCGTTCTCCTGCTGCTCTGCGTGCTGGCCCTGCTCCTGCTGCCAAATAATATTCAGCTCAAGACGGCGGAGCCTCTGCCAGCAGCAGCGCGCATCTTTTGCATCATCTCCACCCAGGACACTCGGCACAATTCCGTGGCCGTGCACGTGAAGCGCAGTTGGGCCAGCCGCTGTGATCAGCACATCTTTGTCAGCAACGATGCCCACGAGGAGCTGGAGCCGGCTATTTTCGCGCCATTGCATGACAAGTGGCTGAAGATGCGAGCGCACCTGGAGTACGTCTACAAATATCACTTCGATGAGGGCGACTGGTTTCTCTATATCAATGACGATAAGTACGAAATGATTCGGAACTCGAAGTACTTAGCTAACATTTACCTATGACAGCTATGTGATCGTGGAGAACCTGCGCTACATGCTGCGCTCCCACAGCCCCGACGAGCTCATCTACTTTGGCTGCAAGCTGCGAAGTGCGTACAATCAGGTAGAGCTGACAGGAGTACGAATTTAATATATAATAAAAAATGATCTCTATATGTATATCTAGCCCTACATGTATGATCGTTCAGGCATTGTCTTGAGCAGCGCCACCCTCGCTCAGTTCGTACTCCGCGCTTTGCCCAATGAGACGATCTGCAGTTCCGGGAAGCAGGGCGATGCTGCATTTGAGGAGTTCGCTCGATGTCTCAGCAATGTCAATGTGCTGCCCGGCGATAGCCGAGATCATTTGGGCTATCATCGTTTTCTGCCATTTCACATGAAAGATTATTTCATTGGTGCGTTGAATTATTCGCTGCCGCACCACAAATACTTCCTGGATCGATCATATTATGGGCTAAGCAATGTGAGTTCATTAATCTCTAAAATTTATATATTTCATTTAATTATTTTTTTTTTCAGTTCAAATTGCCCATTTCAAAGCAATTGATCTGTGCCAAGATGGAATATATGCCAATCATATACAGTCATTATTATCTAACGTATCAGGTGAAAATATTCGGCACACCCCAAAGGGCGATAGTAATTGAAAACTCCAATACGAATTAAACAATTTTATTTGATGAATAAATATTGAATTTATTCTTAGATATACGTAAAAAAAAAACACAAGTCATTATGCATTTTGATAAAGTCTAGCCTTTAGGGTCTCTGAGATCATGAGGGTTATACAGACAAATAAAGAGACACGCGTAACGCTCGACCAGACACATAAAGAGAATATTTACACATTAAAAAAAAAAAAGAAAACAAAAAACAGTATAAACAATTTTAAAGGTAACTCTGAACTTTTCTTAATGAAATGTATTAAATAATTTCAACACTATTAGCTAAGCTGGCTCTTCCATTAACCCTTTTCTGACTTTTGCTGACTTTACTGAGCCACCTTCAGCCAAAAGTCTCCCAGCAATCGCTCATTAGCATAGCCAAACTTCCAGCGCTGCCTTTGGCTCTGAGTATCACAGACATCGGCGATCACAGTTTTTGTTTCCAGTTGAGCCTCGAGGCAAAGTCTGTGCGCTCTGCTCTGGCCATGGACAATCTGATTGGTATTCAAGTCATAGGACCAAAACTGATTGCCCGCATGATGATGGCATTGCCACAGCCAAATCTCTGCTTTCGGCTTTTCCTGCTGCAGCTCCAGGCAATGGGAGTTCGAGTGGAGATCGCGAAAGTGACTCAAGGCCCACTTCTGCTGCAACTTGGGGTACATGAGATCCTCATCACAGGGCAGCAGTTGCGGGTGCTTTGCAGACTCGGCTCTCTCCAGGCAGAGCGAGGGTGCCGCTAGGCTCTGGAGAGCGCCAAAGGCATAGTCCAGAGGCTCGTCTATGGGATACTGCTCCAAGAAATCCCCAGCCAAGTGATCCAGAAACCATTTGAAGGGCTTGCAGCGCAGACGTTGACGCAGCTCCTTTTGTTTCTTCAGGGAACCCACCTTGACGTGCGTCAAGTGGGGCATGTTTGCATAGAGCTTGTCCTTGTACTCGTCCAGCCACACCTCAGCCACGCGCCTGTAGTTCTGCCAGCAGGAACAGTTCGGATCGACACATGCATAATCAATTAGGTCTAAGGTACTCACCCTAGCTATGGCCTTGCTCTCCGCCTTCTTGTACTGCGGATGGAAGTGGCTGTTTCTGAATAGATGCCCCACTCTGGAGCAGGGCACCTCCAGCAGTCGGCCGCCGCACAGCCATATCTTGAGGCTCAGCTCGAACTGCTCGCCGCCCCAAATGCGCAGCCCCTCATCGTAGCCGCCCAGCTCGAAGAACCAGCTGCGGTATATGGCAAAGAGACCCCCATTCATGATGGGGTTTTCATGTGGCGCCGGCAGCGCCAGCTCCTCCTGCTTCAGTAAGGGCAGCTGGATGTAGTTAAAGTCCCAGTCGAAGAAGCCACGCGATGGCCTGCCACGCCTATAGGCGAACGTTTCATAGTCAATGGTGTCCACCACGGGCGTGGTGCAGGTCCTGTTGCTCTCCAGCATGGGAGCCAGCAGTGGCTCCAGCCAGCCCCGCGTGACCTCGATGTGTGCATCAAGGAAGACGAGCACTTCGGCCTGAGCCTTTTGAGCACCCGCCAGTCGTGCCTGCATCAGGCCCAGCTGCTTGGGCAGGCGCTGCTGCTGCACCAGCCCCTCGAACCCTGCGTCCACAGAGAACTCCTGCTCGCTGCCATCGTCCACCAGAATGATCTCTCGCAGCAATCTCGGCGATGTTCTACTTCTCAGACTGCTCAGCGTTCGCAGCAGCACACTGGGCTGCTCATTGTGGTGGGTGATGATTACACTGATCGCTGGCAGGTTTTCCACTGGGTACTTGAGCTTTTTGCAGCTGTTAACAGTTATCGCAGCTCGTGAGAGTCAACTCTTATACAGTAGTACGTCGCTCGCTCTCTCGCTACTCACCTACGATGGCGCATATCGAAAAGCTTACGCTCCGGCGATATGCGCTCCGAGAGCCAAGCATTATAACCCGTTTCACGCTGGCTGCTCTCCATGGCCAAGCGCTGCTCAGCGGTCCAGTTGCTCTCCGCTGGCCGACCCAGTGCGCCCAGACCGGCCAACACTAGCTCTGAAGACTTCGACTTGCCAGCCAGCTGATCAAGTTGTGTTGATGTCACTTTCGTTGTCGTTGTTGTTGTTGTCTTCAGGTTTGTTGTCTTTGTTGTTTCCTCTGGCTTTGTCTCCATAATGTATAAATAGAAAATAATATTACACGTTACAGCAAACAGCAATAGGATTAATATTGTCTTCTTATGCCTTAATAAAATCTCGCAGCTAATCATCGTTTAAAAATAAAACAAACAGACACAAAAGACGAGCTTAAGCCGCACACGTTTTGACCAAGACTGAGTGGTTGAACCAAGTCTAAGAGCAGCGCAAAAGACTTATACGCGTCCAATATGATCTTATACGCCGCGAAAGTTTACAAGCTGCAGCTAATATTGTCGTATAAGTATTAGCCAAAAGCAAGCAAGCGAAAGAGCTTGGAAAACTTTTCTTCAAACTTATTTAATTTTAAATTATCAAATTTTTTTTATTATAATATAATAAATTTAGAAGTATTTATGTAGTTTATTATAAAGAAAAAAACACACACACACACACATTTTTCTTTTTATTTTTTTTTTTTTTTTTTTTTTAATTTTTAAAAACTAACTCATTATTTTAAAATAAAAATATTCTTGGCTTTCTTCTTTAAATAGAATCATTAGTTAATTATTGCTAAATTTCACTGTAGTACAGATCAAATCGAAAACATTGCATTTCCAGTAAACTATCCCAAATAAATAGCGTCACACTTCCACTTCCCTTATTCAATATATATATAAAAAAATGTCTATGCCTGCTTTTACACGCCCCGCCGCATGCCAAAACATGCAAAACTGAACCGAACAGCTGCAACAGAATCCGAATCCAAATTCGAGTTTGAATTTGAATTTGCATTTGGTGGAAAATACTTAAAGAATCAGTTGCAACCCCTCAGGGCGTGGTGGTGGACTCATTAATTTACGTAAAATCCACTTAACTTTTTGTCGAGGCTTTGGCTTTGCCTTTGCCTTTGGCAGTGAGGCTGGGGCAATAAATTCCACAACTTTGCGCCTCATCAAACGAAATGAATGTTAAAATCTACCACGAGTAAAAGTCAGACAATAGAATAGATAGCAATCTACATGAAGTACGAGATGGCGACGTGGCGACGCCAGCAGCAATTTTAGAACATGTGGTGTTATGATGAGACGAGAGACCAATCCAGCAATCCACCCAACCACCCAACCACCCAGCCACCCACCACCGGGCGCATTAAAGCCACCCCAAAATTCTTAAGCTCGGACTTTAACTGACAAAGGGTAGCTGCAGCCAATAGCAAAGCAATTTTTTTCAGGGCAGCTTTACGTAAAATTCCCTTAAAGCCGAACCCGGTACGGCCCGGTAGAGCTCGGGTACGTGCCGGCAGAGGCCGAGTCTCATGCCAATGCACCGCATAATTTTAGGCAATTGTCAAACAAAACGAAGGGTGGCAGGCGGATAAATTAGATTTTTACTTGCGCACAATTGCATAAAGCCGAATAATCCTCAGAGGACCCAACAGCGCCCGCTCGTAAATATTCATTGCATACGCACGGCCGTTCGAGCTTTAAGTTCTATCACTCACCTCACGCTTCAGTCCCCAATCGACAAACGGGAGACGGGAAACGGGAAACGGGGCTTTCACTGCGGAAGTTTTTTCAAGGTCTATGCCAAATTTTGGGGCGGCAGCAATTACATTTGGCCACCCACCCGATGTCCTTGGCGGTGGCCGGGGCTGGCTGTGTGCGTGCGACCTCCCCAAATAGTCGCCTTGATGGCCCGGCTTTATACTCCAAGGGTGTCGAACTATAAATTATACCTTTTGTTGCAGTTTCTGCCCGAATAACCGAGGGGGCTGCAACCCCCGCAAAACAGGGGTCTGTCATGTCTTTAATAAATGTTTGAATGTTTCGTTGCGAGATTAAGTGGATTCCTTTTATAGCATGAGTAATGATCGATGCATAATGCGCTCGAATGTGTCAGGTGTACGGGGCGGGGCAGCGCTGCTATTGCAATTCGAGCCCAAGGAAATCATCTTAATGCGAATCTCTCCCATCTTGAGATACTATGATGAATCAGTAGAAGTCTGCTAGAAATTGAATAGAACCAAAGCTCGACAGAGACCTGAACAGATCTGTTGTTCTTCTGGGTTGTCCACTATTAATGCTCTCGGTTTATCAGAGGCAGCCCAATTACCATAATAGAAAAGTACTTTATGGCAGCAATAAATGAAAAATTTGAAATCTATATATACAGTATATGCGAAACTATGGAGAGCTGTTGAAAATTGCTCGTTAGGTGCCATAAAACAATGAGGAGACTGAGAGGCTGGGATGAATGGCAAACATCGCAGACATAAGTTGAGCATTTTGCTGTTCAGAGTGGACAGCTCAAAGCGCCCACAATAAATTTCACTTATCAAAGTTTTCGCTGGCGCAGACCAAAAAAAAAATAAAATAAAATAAAAATCGTAGAAGACGAAACGAAACTCTGGAGTGAAGGACAAACTTTATGGCAGAGATACTCGAAGCGGGCAAAAGCAAACTAAGGGAAAATTAAATGTCTTTTGTCAACAGCCGTTCCAGTGAAGATGCTGATGGGAGTAGTGCACAAAAAACAAGCAGGAATAGTCGGCTCGCCGAGTCCGGCGCTTCAACAATGACGCACTTTTTGGGTGGCCAGAAGTTTGCCCACTTTGATATGCATTAAAAAAGAATTGGCCAAGCAGACGTCGCAGCAGCAACAGCAGCAGCAGCACGACGAACTGAACAACTGACGAACTCCGATGGTCCAATGGAGCGCAGCGCAATCTCGCTGTGCAAACTGGCATCATAATGGGCCACTTATCATGGCAATCACTCAGCGCACAAGCGCCCTCTGGCGACTGCAGGCTGCAGGCGGTGCCAGCGTTCGATATGGACCCCTGCAATGGACACCTCCTYCTCCTGTGGCACCCGGCCAGGCCAGGTCCCAGGCGCAGCCCTGGCTATCGGGGTGCTACTCGGTTTGCTTTACTACTTTTCGATACTCAATCGTCGTTGCCTTTTAATACTTTGCGCAAACACATTAAATGGAAATTTCGTGCAAGGCGAGCAGCACCCCGCCAAGGAGTGGGGCTTCTTCTCTCTGCCACCCCCGGATGTGGGTGAGGGTGGTGGCACCCATGCAAAGTGCTGGCATTTGCACAGCGAACGCATTTTTCATGTGACATTTGCAAAGGCAAAACAAACTTTCACTCAAGCGATTCAAAAACCATGGAATGCCTCAAAGGACTCTTGGCAACAGGATTCGCCAGGCAGGCGGTTCGCCTGCCACGTCCTTCCTATTGCTGTTTGATCTTTACTCAGTGCTCATTGCACATTTGCCACTGTGTGTGTGTGTACGATTTTTTTCGAGGCGAAATCCTTGCGTCAATATGCTCCCAAAAAAAAGAAAAGAAAAGAAATGGACTTCAAGCTGTGAGTCCGTCCTGTTCTGCTTCCTCTTCAAGTGTTTTATAAATAAAAATCCTGGCGCTTTTTGCTCAATAGTCCCACATGCACACACACACGCACACCCACACTTAGAGCTATGGAGAGGTTTAGGGAGAGAAATGTTTACTTTGAAAATTGCTGTGATTCGGTCAGTTCTTTTAGCATTTTTTCTTCTGTGTTGCTCTATGCTAAGCTATGGAGCACAAAAACGGAATTTGAGTGGCATATCTTAAGTGGGAATTTGAAATTGAATGATTGTTGAATTAGCAGATTAGAATTACTTCAGGTCTGAGAGTAGCTTTGCTTTAAAATGTAAAAAAAAAGAAGCAGATGCAAATGCAAAATCTGAACAAGAGATATAGGGATATATATAGATATAATTATATATATGTTGAGATAAAGAGATAGATATTGATGTATATTGAAGATATCCAAATGCGTTCTACCTCTACAGTTTCTTCTAGAAATCATGCAACTGGGCAAAAGCAAGACATGATATGAATAATCGCTTTAACATTATGTATCAATAATTTGGAATAGATATTGTCCCTTATAGCTTCGCTCATATACAAATACTTAATTAAAACTTAATTTAATCACAATCAAAGTTTCCATTATAGATCTATAGCAACAAAAGTTAAGAGATATTATCTCAAGAGAATCCTATTAAGAAAAGAGAATGATTGGGCAGACCTATCGCACTATCTAGTAAATTAGGCAGCTACCACAGATGCGGGAATGGCAGTGACGTTAAATAACGGCATCAATAAATTAGCCCATGTTAGGATAGCATCTAAATTGTGAGTGAGTGTGGCTAAACATAGCTGAGTGCAATGAGTGATTTCTCGGAGAATCTGGCAGTAAACCGTAGACATCGTCTGGCATATCTGTGCCTAATTAATTGTCAAACATTGCGCGCTCTATGTGACGTTAATAAATGTCAACTAAATGAGCTGCATGTACGCAAACGAAGCGCAGCGAGCTCCCTGATGACGCAGCAGGAGGCGAGCAGGAGGCGTGCAGAGGCGCAGATGCTGTCGCTGCTGCAGACAGGCTACTTAGTGGCAGTGCCAATGCCACATGTTGCAGCCACCGAACTAAGTACAACGAAAACAAATGAAAACTATTTTAAGCCAATGTCAGCTAGAAGACGACTCCGTAGCCAACTCGCAGCACGTTCTCTGTGGCAGGCAGGTGTGACGATGAGTGGCTGCCTGTTTACCAAATTAGATGCATTCGAATTGATGTGCGTGCATAAATTATGTCGAATCTAAGCAATGTGTAGGGATAGTGTGCGTGTGTGTATGTGTGTGTGTGTGTGTGTGTTAGCTGAGTTGAACCAAGTTTAAATTAAATGTTTAACATTCAATCACAGGCGCCGCCTTTTGTGGCCTGTGGCAGTGTCCCGGTGTCCTCTCTCCTCTCTCTCTCTCTCTTGTCTCCTGTGTCCTGTGTCCTGTCTCCTGTGAGTGCCGCAGACTTCGGGCTACCCGTTGACAGTTGAGCAAATGAAATGCATTGTAAAGTTTTCTATTTGTCAAATATGCTACCTAAATACACACACACACACTCACACTCAC